AGCTGTCCACGTTAGTACACATGGCTATCATTGGTGGAGCCAACATGTATTGAGGGAATGAGGGGTGTCAAATGACACCCTAAAAGTTTATAAACTTTTTTTATCCATATATATATAACACCCCTTTTAAAATGATTTTGACATTCTTTAGAAAAGAAATTAACCCTATATTTTTTTTAAAATAACAATAAAAAATTTTAAAATCCAATTTTCCCACTTAATTTTTTTCATATAATTTCTAAATTTGACACTGTAAATTTTTTCCTAGCTATGCCCCTAATGGCTATCATGTCATCCTTCCATTTACGGTTTAACTGCTGAGTGACCAAAATAAGAGCAAATTAAAAGTTTAAGGTGTAAATTGAAAATTTTTAAACATGAATGATCAAGATAAGAGTTAGAAGAAAATTGAGAGAAAAAATTTGTAATTTACCCCAAGTATTAAAACTGATTTATTTTTAGGGTTTACTTGGACGTAATGGGTGGGAGCAAAACACGGTCCCGTTCCACGCCATCGCTATCCCTGTATTAATATGGTTGAAATCACCCAATTGTTTCGATAAACTGTATAAAAGTTTTTAGTTTCCAGCTCATTCCCTGTAAAAGGAAAAAGATGGTCTAAAGTGACATGAAAAAGGATTTAGGATGTGCCGACCAAATCTAAACGGCCCTACACACCATGACTTTTTGCTACGCCCCCCCCCCCACCCCCAATTTATTAATCTTCGGGAAAAGGGTTTCACTCGACTCCATCCCTTGCATCAAGAATCACTGTCTAGTATAATCATTAATCCTTTGATTTTATTATTTGAATTTATATTCCAATATTCTATATTCAATAGAATTATTTATAATGAGTTAGATCACAGTTGAACTGTATTGAATTATTACCTAATAACATGTAAGAGAATATTAAGTAAAAGATGCTAACTTTTATATTCTGAAAGATTTTCTAATACCAATATCAATAAAGGGTATGGGGTCATACCCTAGTTTGGCAAATGCTTGCGTATTTATACAAGGTTTTAGGGTTGCTCGTTGCTAACAATTTAAGGCCTTCACGTTTTCTTGGATTTGAACCCATGTTGAGCTTTGTGTCCTTTGTGGAGTAGAGGCTCTTTTAGTTGTACCCATATAACAAACTTATGTGCCTTTATATACCTTCGGTTGTGCTTGGGCTCAATCAATACGGTCCAGTTTTATTGCCACATAACAACGTTAAAATCCGAACCTTATTCTTACTCTTCCAATGAAATTCAATGTTTATTAATTATGCACACTCTTACTCTTTGTTCTACCCATCGATGAAGATCGATAATCTATCTTGTTTAATAAAAAAACTCAATTAATAGTTTAAAGATTTGATTATATATTAAAATATAAGATTAATATACAAAAGGTGTCCAACGTATGTCTGTTTTTTCAGTTTAGTGCCTAACGTTTCATTTCGTTAATCAAAATGGGTCATGCCGTGACGGACCGTTAGTTTTCTCCGTTAAATGACAGATGTCACAATATGATAATTTTAAAATAATTATTTAAAATTTTAAAAAAAATTATATATTAAAAAAAAAGAAACAAAAATTTTATGAAATAAACTTTGAAAACTTTCATTTCAACCCATTAACCTTTAACCGTTTGGTCGCCCCTCTTCCAAGCTCCTCCGCTCGGCTACGGTGATTTACCAAACCGGTTGGGTTTTGGTCGGACAGGACTGACGAGCTCAACTTCGATGGCGGTGAGGTGGAAAGGCGACGGTTTCGGCCGGAAATCGCAAAAATCGAACGGTAATAGGGGCTTTTCGTCGGACTTTCAAATGCCACTCCACTACGAACGACAACGACTAGAGGTGAGTGGATTAATGGGCTATGATCGGTCCGAGACGACGCTTCCACTGGGCTAGGCAATGATGACTCTCGATGAGCAGTGGCCGAGGTTGGAGGTGGGCGACCGAATGGTTTCCTTGCGATTAAGCTCGACGGTGACCGATTTCGAGTGATCTGAGGGTCGAGTTAAGGTCACCGGTTGCTGCTGAGTTCGGTGGGAGCGGCGGTGTACACCAACACCGATCGGAGAAGGGTAGTTCGGTGACGGGGTTAAAAGTTAATGGATTGAAATGAAAGTTTTCAAAGTTTTGGGGTTATTTCAAAATTTTTGTATTTTCGTTTTTTAAAAATATTTAATTTTATTTTTAAAATTTTAAATATTTTTTAAAATTACTAAATTGTGACACATGTCACTTAACGGAGAAAACAAACTATCTGTCACGACGTGACCCATTTTGAGTAACGGAATAAAACGATAGACACCAAACTAGAACAAAAAAAAACATTAACCACTAAACTGAAAAAAAGAACATACGTTGGACACCTTTTATATATTTAAGCCTAAAATATAATTATATTAAATCCGATGCAATATCTATAAACCGTGAATAGTATTGTTTATAAAGTTTAGCGATTGTTTATAAGGCTTCCATTCATTAACGTTCACCATCAGAGTGAATATATACATACATAACTGTGCTATTTTTTTTCTCTCTAAGTTAAAAAAGCAGTGTATTTAATTATTGGGTAAAGTATACAAATGATGTCCTGATTATAGCATATCACTTTGTTGAGTTATCCGATTATTAAAAGTTATAAAATAGTCTTTCGACTATAGGATATTACTTTGTTGAGTCCCTTAATTATTAAAAGTTACAAAATGATCACTCAATTATTCATTATATTCTAAACTCGGATTTTCCATTAAAAATTAACGGCCATCTAAACCTAATGTTAACGTGATGGCTGAGATATGATAGTCGTTTAAGATTATGAGATCAGATTTTATCATATCTCAGTCAACAAGTTAACGTCCGGCTTAGACTACCGTCAATTTTTTTAACGAAAAATGACAAGTTTAAAATATATGAATAGTCGAATGATTATTTTGAAACTTTTAATAGTTAGGGGACTCAACAAAGCAACATATTATAATCGATGAACTATTTTATAACTTTTAATAATCAATGAATTTAATAAAATAACACCTTATAACCAATATACTTTACGCTTAGTTATTATTATATTAAATAAAGAATAAAAAGAGTGGGCGGCATGTTGGTTCATAAGTTAGGCCTTTGCAATTATTATTATATTAAAAGAACAAAATCTGAAGTTAGGCATTTTTCGAATTTTTGGCCGCTCAATAAGTGTAATATATACGCCGTATGTCTTTCATATATAAGTTACTTTATCTTATTTTATTAATTTAAGATAAAAAGGGCACATTACGTATTTGGTTTTCCAATAACACTTTAACTCTATTTTACTTATCTAATTAGTTTTTAAATCACCGTTAACGATACATTTTAATTTTATTTTAATTATTCATTATTGAAGTATTAATGATAATGTTAATGTGTTAATTTAATATTATTTTATGTCATCATTAAAAAAATAAAAAAATATCATATAAATAATTATATTATTTTTAATGACAGATAATTAATATTGAATTAAAATATAACATCAACTATAATTTAAAAAAGTAATTAGATAATTGAGTAAATAAATACAAAACTTATAAAAAAAATAAAAAAGAAGGTGGTGGCGGTAGAGTTGGCCTTAATTAGGCCAAGGAAAGTAGCCTTCGTTAGAGGTTAAGGTAGGGGTGTATAAATTTGGATATCAGATTGGATCTAATATAAAAATGTAGATATTTAAAAAATTTAGATACCTAAAATGATGATTCGTATCGTATTCGACAAAATTAAATATTAAAATTTTTGTACCGCATATTTGAATATTCAGATCTTAATATAAAAATTAATTTGACAAAAAATAATTTTATATTTTATATTTTTGTGACTTAATGTAACTAATTCGATACCTTTATTATATATATATATATAATTACTCACACAATAAATACTAATTCATTTATGGCTATACCTGTCTTGATTTGGGATTTGATTTTGGTTCATACGAGCTTCGTGCTTTCCTGGTTTGAAATACAGAAGCTCGGGGAAAAAACTGGAATTTTCCCATTATTTGTGGGTGTATGGATTGTTTAGGGTGAGATATTTGTATAGGTTTTTTTTAATAGTATTAAGTGATTATAAACTAATATATATTCATAATCTTTTTTAATTATTAATAATGCACACACGCACAGTCGCACACATAATTACTTGAACTCCATACCTTAAGGGAGAATAACACTCCTTTTAATCGCTGAGATCCTAGTTCGAGATATTTACATAGTTTGAATCGAAGTGTGAACTGTGAACTGTTTTATGACTTAATATGAAAGGATAAACTATGTAGATGGTAACTCAACTTTTGGGTTACTAACATTTTGGTAAAAAGATCCTTTCACTTTAGTCGCTCAACTTTTAGGTTGCTAATGTTTGGGCCACCCAAGCATTAAACACCAATCGACAGTTAACGTTTTGATCACTCAAATTTTAAGCGCTAAATTTTAGTCACTAAACAGAACTTGGATGACCAAAATATCAACACCCTAGAAGTTCAGTGACCATTTAAGTAGTTCATCCAATATAAAAGTTGATGTTGGATTCAAAGGTATTCTGTTTGTTGTAGTGGTTTCAGGTTTGGATGGCGTTGTTAAATTGCTTGTTCATTTCGACTTAAATTGATAGTATTTGGTAAAATTTAACGTGCAGTACATCCCTGAAACAAAAATGGTATTCCCTGGATTGAAGAAGCCACAAGATCGTGCCGATCTGAGTGCATTTTTGGAGGAGTCGACAACATCCTAAATGGGCTGTAAACAGTAATATGTTCAGTTTCAATATTCCCTTCCATTTTGCAGTCATTGGAGATTGTTTTAGTTTCAGAGTACAAGAATAAATTAGACCCCGTATAATAACAAGGCTTATTTGCAACTGTATTTGATGAATATCTGGTGAATTACCAGCTTGAGAAAGATGACTGTGTTTTCGGAAGATTTAACCAGATCCCAGGAATATTGCATATATAAATACATATAGAATATAAGCAGAGGCCAGAGGCCTCACCTGGTTAGATGTTTTCGTTTATCACATAAAAATAATCTTGGTATCCATTATTATCAAAACATAAAACTCCAGCTTTACCTTTCCAACTGCTCCTAGCTTTAAAATAATCCTTGCAAATAAATAAAACAAAAGAAACGACAGAAAGTTCAAAGACAGCCAAGGCCACAGAATTAAACTTTATCAGCAGCTAAAAATTCATCATGGTGGCTGTTTTAAGGTTTTGGCTCCGACTGAGCTTGTGCCGGCCGAGGCCGAGCAAGTCCGGGTATCTGCAAAACAACACATACATGTAGTTCAGCTATGAATGTATCAATCACCAAATAATAACGTACGAATGTCGGTATTCAATTTGTGATAAGAGAATGAAATTCAATTTGTGATAAGAGAATGAAACATATGGAAGTTATCTTTGAGAACCATCCAAATCAATCGAGAACTTTGAATGGTAACAGGTAGTTAAGTATAATTAGAGAACCTTCACCCACAAAATATACTTTGGGAACAAAATACAAACCTCGACTCCATGAGGACCAATGCGGTTGCGAGCTATAAAATTGAGTACCAATGCAGCAAATTCTTCGGGTACATCCTCCTACCAATTCAACATTTAGAAGTTTCAATTAAACATAACAAAATACACCAAAAAAAGAACATCCGAGGAAATATAAATGATGTGAACCTGAATAGCATGCCCTGTATGTCTGATAACGACCATTTGAAACTTGCCTTGCATTTGACCTATCGTGAGTGCTCTATTATGCAAAGTAAATACAAAGAAGCAAAAGTTAACAAATTGTTAACCAATCGTAAAGAAAAATCATCATAAATTCCTTTATCCTTACCAATCACATATGATATCCTTAAGAATCCATCATTTTAGTTACAAAGGCATCTTTCATTCAAATGCCAAAGAAGAAGAAAAACTTTTATTGAACATCTTTCAAGAATGATATCAAAGCCCATAACACTAAGGGTGTCAGATACAGGTATATTCAAAATTTTCTTTTGGAATTTATGATATTTGGAGGACAAAACCTCAATATCCATGTCCAATGAATATGACTCGAACAGAAGTGTGTTATGAAAAATGAAGAGTTGGATCAACATAAGTCATTTTACTTCAAAAATCAGATGATATAACAGTAAAACCACTAGAAGCGCTGATCTATTCATGTTATTAGACAAAAACTGGTATATAAAGGAAAAAAATGAAAGGACCAAAATTAAGTAGGCGGGTATTAAAAGTCGAATGAGACAACCTGTCCAATCTGTCAGTGCCGGCTAATAGCAAGAGCTTTGGAACAGGGGAAGACAGAAATTTTTCTGAAAGGCCACTATACCTGGAAGATAGCGAAGTTAAAAATGAAACTAGAAACAGCTCCATAAGCGTTGAGATCATTATATGAAAGAATTTAGCTTTGGATGTTTCAAAAATATGAAAGGACTAGTAATTAAGGCTGGTTTTCGTTATTCAGTAAGAAGGAACTGTCTTTCCATTATGAACATTGATAAGCTTTCAGTTTCAACCAATTGATCCAACAAGCGCAACAAGTTGACCGTACATTTCAGTCGGGATTTATCTCCCTTCCCTTTTCCTCTATCCTCCCTCTTTGGAAAGATAGATGAAACAGTACTACCCATTGGAATTTTCTACAGATGATATATGCTCTACTTTAGTATGCTGCTAGATTAGTTACACGTATATCAATACATGTAACATACACAAACATGCATACCCGGGAAACAAAATGCAATGGAAAAATACTCGAAACCTCTTAAGTTACATCAAAATAGTTATCCAGCACACCTTAACAAGGATTCATTTATGCACTTTGTTGTGTATTATGTAAACTCTCTTTCCGCAACAAACTCAAAAGTTTATTTTTTCTATAATCATCATTCCACATTAATGCACAGGCAAGGCACTTATTTATTATTTTAGTCAGCATTTTTCTATACACTTATTGTTTTTTCTATAATCATTTTTTTCTTCTGAATTTGTTAATTTAGTAGTTAAGAGACAGTAAGAAAGTGGTTAGGCATTTTAACCATAAGATTAACAAGTTTGGTATCCTTAACACCTTCCATCCATCTTACAATGAATGCCAAGGTTTCAGCTCAAGTATCCACAATGATGTTAGACCACATCGGTATTTACACAACATATAAAAGTTATCAGCAAAACTTCACTCACCAGCCACTCCAATATTGTTCTGTCTCTTCCAGCCGTGCTCTGTAGACATAACTATGGGGAAAAATAAAATTATTTCTGTTGGACTTAGAAAGGTACAGTATATAGTTAATATGACACAAATACTTTACCATTTCTTTGAATCATCGTACTTTAAAGTGGTAGGAATGGATACACGAGCAGAGTCAATATTTCTTAAAGAACCTCCTCTAACACTCCATTCAATCTGCACATGTTAATTTTCCATTAGAAAAATAATTTCAACAAACTTGCTTGAAGAAAATACAATTCAACTACGTGCTCACTTTATGTGACATAAGATCTTGGCCCAGTCTGATCGAATAGCAAGCAGTGTATTTTCTCTGTATTCTCAACAACCAGCCTTCTAAAGTAAAAAAACCAGTTTGGTCTAAAGGGTTTCCCTTTTTTCTGGTAAAGTTCAGTGATTGCACTTGGATATTGGTGCTTAGTGTACCATAAGAAGTAGAAGTTTCTCCTAGCACTCAACAGTGATTTTATCTAAAACCTTATTCAGAGCATGAAACCTATATTTCTCTACCGTTGATTAATTCTATTCATTTTCATATTTTCTTCTAATATAATTCTTTAGTAGTTCAGCAAGTTAGCAGCTGTTATCTGCCAAGTCACCTGTATAAGCAAATGCAGACCACTACTGAAGTCAGACCCTCAAGATGGAATTCCAATAACTTCACTACTACTGTTCACTTATTGCTTAACTTTCTTATAGTCATACTAAATAACTTGCAATCCTATATCCCATGCATACTGATGGAGTTGTGAAGTATTGAAGCAGTCTAATGCCAGGACATTACTGGAAATCAGTTAGGCGGGCAGTCACCACATAGACACTGAAATTTTTAATCAACAAAAACATATAACATATTCCGAATCAAAGTTCTTCTATCATTCATGAGTCGATATATAACTTGTTTGGATGTCACACAAAAATCTAAATACATTATATGATTGGAGATAGTTGAAAAATTCTAGAACCCTTTTGTTAAAATGTAATCATGATTCTAATTGAGGCGCAAATGATTAATTGGCCTGGAATAATTTGGCAAGCTGGGTAGGAAAGTGCCACAAGCCCAGAATCCAGATTATACTTAGCCAGGTCATAGCCTCAGTCATATATTTTAGCAGTGAATTCAGAATTCCTACTACTTTGTACATTCAATGGTTTGTCAAAGCCTTCTCTAGTGACACTTTCTATTACGGATAATTACTTGGTTACATGACCACTTCTATCAACAAAATTATAACTTCAGAAACTACAAAAATTATTATTCAGTAGATTATAGTTAAATTTAATGTGCACATATATCCACTTAAATTATAAAGACTAATGACTCAGAAAATGAACAGTGCAAATACAAACCTACACCAGTATCCACATAAACACATACAAGTTTGAAACACGGTACATTTAATCACATCAAAGAGAGAGATGATATACACACGAATAAAAGAAAATGGCATTCATAAGATAAGAAAATGCATTTACCGCTTTCTCAATACTTGAAAAGTGCTGCATTCTGCCTGAGAGGATTTTCTGCATGTGAACTAATGATGCCATTGCTGTCCCCTGAAGCAAGTATGTTTGGTTTTAATACATTGCTTTGCTAGGAATCAAATAATTAAAAGATAATTTCAAGCAGCTTTTTAAGGGACCAACCTCTACAACATCCACAACCACCAAACCAGCTAAACCACGCAATGTTTTCTTCGCAGCAACGTGTACAGCAACTGAGCCTCCCATGCTGCATAGCAATGACATAAGGTGATAATGAGAAATTTAATCACTTTGGCATTTTTTCCCATTTCATTCTTTGCAACCAACATATAAAAGTTTAACAGGTTGTCCATTTTTCTATTTTGACAATTTGAACTAAATCACCAAAAGCCCAATAGCCATCTTATGGAAACATGCCCTTGGAAAATAGAGTACATAACCAATGAAATAGTTATTCAAGCTCAAGTACAGAGCTAAAATTGCCAGCTTAGATTATTCAGGTTTCCAAATTAATTGACAAAAAACAATATTTTCCAAGAAACAATCTTGAAACCAGTTCATTCTTCGAATCCCATGACTCCAAATTATAGGGTTCTTAAAAGAACAAACAATTTTTGTTAGAGCTAATAATACATTGTGCACGCACAGACAGAAAAGATATAAAGGGAAAAAAATATCTAGCCGCACTTTGGCAAGTCTCATTGATTAGTGTGCTTGATCAATGAGCACTTTTCTTATTATTTGCTTCTCCTCTAGAAAATGAATTATGTACACTGTTATCAAAACTAAAACAACAGGAGAGCACAACCTGTGGCCAACAAGCACAATGGCGGGAGGAGAATCTCCATACAGCGCCTTCAAAACAGCAAAAACATCATCGCACATTGTCTGCACATGTAAGATATCTTTTAGTTCTGTAGAAGCAACACTAGAATGATACAATTCATGGCCAAACAATTAAAACAACAGTTTGTAGGGAAAAAATATCATTTACTTCTATTTACTATGCTTAAAATGTGTACCTCGATAGATAGATCAATATCATTTTCTGAGGATGATTTTCCATGTCCCCTAAGATCCATGGCAACTACTCTAGCTTTCTCTTTAATTTTACTAGCTGACAGTGCAAACGAGAGCCTGCCATAGCAAATTAGACAACTCACTGTTATCAGAAATTAAATCATGATAAAAGCATAAATAAAATATTAATATCATAAATCTACATAAAAGGGGCACATTTTTAGATTGAATTTCAGGGAAGGAAAGCCACTAAAGATAAAATATACTCCAAGATTAGTTAACAGTTTATGATAAACAGCAGTATTTAATGAAGTATATGGATAATCAATAGGAACTATCTTCCAAGAAGTTCGTCTCTAAATCTGCTAGGAAATTTCATCAAAGCAGTATTATGTTCATTCAAGAGAAAGGAGGAAGAGCATGGTGAGATTAAACTAACTTTCACGGACATTCTGAACAAGCATGTAATTGTTTAACTCTTTAACATAAGATGGAAAAGCAGTAACTAAAAGATAATTAGTTATAAATGTTTCCCAGACAAAATAGTGGATCTTTAATAGTTAAAATGAAAATCTCTATGGAATAAATTTTTCACCAAACATCAAAGAAAGGGGGAAGGGCTGCTATTCTATGTAATTTCCAAAGCAAAATAATATTATGACTAAGATTTCATACCGTCTATACCATTTATTTTATCACCTGTTCCTCCATTTCCCAATGGAAGAACAAATAACAGCACATACTCAAGTTTCAAATCTAGCATGATTAAACTAAGGCTCCTTTGGAATGGTTCAATTTGCTTAAGAGCAAGAATGAAAAGGGTTGCTTAGGAATCTTATATATCAAGACAATCTTGTAGTCCTTTCGAGAACAACATCCTTCCAACACAAAGGAATTGAATTGCAAAAATGAAAATGGAAACCAGAACTTATCATTCAAAGTATCATAGCAGCACAACAGTAATAGCTTGATGACATTTTAGAACAAAACATGATAAAATTATCCATCTTACAAGATTCAGGGTTTACTTTGGTGTGTTGAATTAAAATTATTCAAATGTAGGTATTAGAGTCCATGAAGAAGATTTAGGTTTTGTGAGTTTTCTTATTCTTACTTTAGAAGCTTTTTTTTTCACTGGACATTAGAAATTCTTGAATGGAAGAAGGATTTATTTATTTATTGTTATTATTATTATTTTTTTTGGGGGGGGATACAAGTGATAGTACTAAGACTCTATCTTAAGATCTTTGCACAAACCCATTTTCATTGTGTCCGATTTGATTTGTATTTTTTTGGCATGTTCTGCACATATCCCACCTCGTCGGCAGCAAGTCCAAGTCTAGCATTGGTACAAAACTAGAACATGGGGGTTGCCCCAGTGTTGGTGCTTCATAGATTATAATATTCTTTTCCAACACTTGATTTTAACTTTAAAGCAGCATTTGGGAAGTAAGAAGCAAATAGCAATAGCAAAAATTTACTAGCCAAGCCTTAATAGTTAATATTCGTAGATCACAGGAAACAAAGGATAAATCATTTTTGTATTGAAAGAAAATCAAATGTAATTTATACTTTAACTAAAAGAAATGCAATGTGGTGCCTCAACTTTAATTCCATATATTAATCAATCCAATCACTAACTCTTTAGAAAATGTCTAATAAGATAAAAGTCCAATTTCACACACATTTTCTACAACTCTCAGGACCACCCCTTCATGTATTACAAACAAGTAAAATAAATAAATAAACAAATGAAAATATATCACCGAGATCAAACATACCCAGAGTAACCACCCCCATGTAGACAAAAAACAACTGGTCCTTCTGTTCCTGCCATATATAAATGAAAGACCTAAAATGATAAAGCATATTAGAATAGCATAGGTACTGAAAATGGATAAATTTTCCATGGAACTGCCAAAAAATTAACACTAACATCATTTGAGTCCGGTATGGAGACATCTTCCTCTCGATCAAAATAGTTGGACCAATCTAAAGGCGAGTATTTCTCAGAAGAACTCCTACAAAAACGTTTATTAAAAAAATCAAACACCTACTAACATAAAAAATATAAATTTTTTTTTGATAAGATTAGAAGGCCTCATTAAAAGAAAAAAGAAAATCTAGCAAAAATAGTTCATCTCTACCATCTCAACTTAAGTAGAATATGAGTGCCATCTAAAAGTCCACATACAAAGACTAATGATTAGAGGAATATTGAATGCCACCGTTCTGGCTTTTTTTTTTTTTGACAAGATTTGAAGGCCAACGTTCTGGCTGTTACTAATATAAATGTGTTATCTCCTTTGTTCAAGACATTCTAACGAATAAAATTCAGAGGAGAAGCCTTCGGAAGAGGAAGATGAGGTACAGGAACATAGAGAAGGGAAGATTTCTTTCTTTGAATCTGCTTTTTCAAGCAGTTGGCACGTCCAATTGAAGTACCACTCCTCATTCCATCCAAAATTTCAATAAAATGAGAAAGTATTGAATTCAGTAAGACTTCAGACCTGAGAAACTGAACTATTTCGCAATAAATACCAAGTAAGAAAGCAGTAATCAAAAGCACCATTCGGTGTAGGAGAAAGGTAGATGCAAAATAATCCATGAACAATAACTTAATCACAAACATATCTAGTATGAATAAATGCAAGAAAATGCTTTCTTTTGACATGTGAAAAACTGGGCTGGAATAAATTAACAGACATGATTGAAGAAGAAATAGCATGCATCAGTCTACCAACTCTGTTATTTTAGTCGATGGGTCAACATATTCAATGTTATCGGGTCTGGAATTGCTACTTTTACCTCATCCTTTCATTAGAATATGTTTTGTGTCTACCATAAGTATATTTTATTTTTATTTTTTAATAATACGAGTGACCTTAGTTATTGTGTCTCAATTTAATAAATTACAGACATATTGAAGAAGAAATAGCATGCATCAGTCTACCAACTCTGTTATTTTAGTCGATGGGTCAACATATTCAATGTTATCGGGTCTGGAATTGCTACTTTTACCTCATCCTTTCATTTAGAATATGTTTTGTGTCTACCATAAGTATATTTTATTTTTATTTTTTTAATAAACTTACGAGTGACCTTAGTTATTGTGTCTCACTTTCTATCAAAAAAAAATATAGTGTCTCACTTTTTCCCAGGTATTGTTTGATTTAGGATCTCATGACGAAGAAGATTATTGGTAAGACACATGCAGTCTCTACATTTTTTATACCTAGACACCTGAATCGATTGCTTGTGTCGGTATCATTACTCCTTTTGGCAAACATTGTCATTTGGGTCACCCTTCGCTTTCTATGTTTAAGAGACTTTGTCCTCAATTTTCATGTTTCTTCTTTAGATTTTGAGTCTTATCGGTTTACTAAACATCGTTGTCTTTGTTCAAGTCCTCAAGTCAATAAGCAAGCTACCGATTCGTTTGAGTTAGTGCAATCTGATGTTTGAGGACCAAATCCTGTTATCTCGAAACTTGGTTTCAGATATTTTGTCACCTTTGTTGATGATTATACTAGGGTGACTTGACTTTATTTAATGAAAAATCACTGATAATTATTTCTTCATTTTTCTTCCTTTTGTGTTGAAATTCAAACCCAATTTGATAAAAGTGTCCAAAAATTGAGTGATAATGCCAAAAAAATATCTCCCAAGATCATTTCAAACATACATGCTTAAACATGATATTATTCATCAGACTTCTTGTGTTGACACCCTTCTCAAAACGGAGTTGCTGAGAGAAAAAATAGTAGTTTTCTTGAAACTTCCAAAGTTTTGTTATTTCATATGCAGATTCCTAAATGATTTTGGGTTGATGTTGTCTCTACTGCTTGCTTCCTCATTAAGTATATGTTTTCCTCTGTTTTGTTTGAAAATATCCATTTCCATACTCTCTTTTCAAATAAAAATTTGTTTCCTATCGATTGAACTCTTTTTGTTCGATATGTCTGTCCTCAAGTTACAAAGCTTGATCCTAAGTCCTTAGAGTGTGTTTTTTTGGGTATTCTCTTGTTCAAAAAGGTTATCGTTGTTATTGTTCAAGACTTGGTAAGTATGACGTTACCTTTTTGAAACAAACATCCATCACTTCCAATTCAGGTTCTGTGAGTCAAGAGAGGATGGTTTGTTACTTTATCAGATTGTCGCAACCAAGTCTGGCATCCTCTACATCGGTTAAGCCTCCTGTCAAATTCACCTTCTTGCGTCGCCCACGTCCACCTAATTCTAAGATTTTAGACCCATGTCCTTATGAACCCCATGTCCGTCTACACCTAACCCTGTTCTTGAGACTCCAGAACCATGTCATGATGAACTATTATCTTCGTCATCCGATCCGACTACCACAACTGATTGATCTTGATCTCCTTATTACTCTTCAAAAAGGTAAACGTACTTGTATATACCTAATTTATTCCATTATTTCCAATAATTGTTTGTCTTCTTATTCTTGTGCCTTCCTTTCATCCCAAGATAAAATTTATGTCCCTAAAAATGTTCGCTAGGCATTAGCTCATCATGGATGGTGTACGGCTATACTTGAGGATATGACTACTTTAGATGTCAGTAGAATCCAATCTTTGGTTACTTTACTTGCGAGCTTTGTCAACATCACAAAAACAATAACTATTTGGAGACACTTCAGCATTGCATAAATGCGTTATCAGAGCATGTTAATGCAAAGTAATTTACATGCAGGTGATTTAATCATTCCATTACTAAATTGAGCTCTGGACTCCACTTTAAAAGTGAGGTGTTGGTATGGCTACCTATTAGGTTCAGGCCTTAAAAATTAAGTCTTTTATTCTTTTTGAACAAAAATTTGCAATTGATTATTCCTAATAACTTTGTTTAAGAAAATGGATAATAATAACTTGATTTCCTATCTTTCACAAGTCATTTAATTGATATCCAATATAATAATATATTTGAAAGGTATTAAAACAATGAATTCATATTTACAAAATATCTGTAGTATTTCAAATTCACCAATCAATAAACATCAAACAAATTCATAAATTTGAACACTTGCATTTGTTTTATTACGTAGTTTACACTGTTTTTTAAAATCAATATCCCAAAATTAGAAATCTAAATCCTCAAAGCAACCTAAACAAAAGTATGATAAAGCTCGGTGTTAATTTTCCTTTCCAGAATCCAGTTTCGTTGAAAATTAGAACCCAAATAAAATTTATGAAATAACAGATAAACATAAACGAAAATCAAGAAAGGAAATGATTAAAGAAACATGAAAAAACAAAGTTGCTCGAAGCGATTGAAACACGGAAACGAGATAGAATATAAAGAAGCGAATGGGATACGAAAAGGAGGGAGATCGAGAACTCACTTAGTTGGGGGGAGATCAGGACGCGAGGCAAAGGCAGAAACAACCGGCTTACTGCTATCTTGTCGGTGCTGCTCGTCCTCCGGGACTGAACTCAGGTTCGATGAATCCATTTTTTTTTTTTTTTGATTCACTTTCTATCTTTCGTACCAAATTTCGAACTTTTATTTCGTTTTGAGACAGAAAAGTAACAATGTTTAATTCCAATTTCCAAATGGCGAACATTTCTTATACAACACAAGCTTAGAATTTAGTCCTATAATTCAATTCGGTAAGTCTAATCTATTTTAATTTTAAAATTTTAAATCCTAACTCAAATAATAATCATTAAATTTATTATATTTAATTTTGATATTAATTCTTTTTACTTGCATAGGTCATACATTAATTTCTTCACTTCAATTTGATTGTTTTAATTCTTTGTGGTTTAATCATATTGTTTATGTATTGTTTGAATTAGGATTAAAAATTTAAATTTTAAAAAGGGATGATGTTGCTACACTCGACGAGCACAAATGAGCACCATTAAATTAATTTATAAAATGTTAAATTATATAGTATTAAACGTATAATTATAAATTAGTTAAAAATATTGATGTAATTTAATTAAAATTAAATATTTAAAACATTAGTTTTTAGGATAAACTATATCATTGACCACCTAACTATTTACCCTTTTTACTTTAACCATTAATTTTTCAATTTTGTCAATCGGTCACCTAACTATTTAAATTTTCTCAATTAAGCCACTTGTTGTTAAAAATTAACAGAGGACATATCAACGGAGGAGATATCGTGGTAGTTAATAAAATTTGTATAATGACACATTTAGTCCTCACTACTTACACATTCTATTAATTTTGTCCTAACTTTTATTTAATTTAATAAATTTAATCCTCAATCTGATGGTGACATGTCACTGTGTGATTTGATGTTTGAAAAAAAATTAAATTAATAATCGCTGCTAGTGGCGTTTGAACCTAGGACACCATCCGAAAAACTAAGCACTCTAACCACTAAGTTGGAGTTGGACCACTAAATTTGTTTAGTATATAGAACATAATCTATATAATTTATAACATAGTTAATGCTAATAAATGACCTTATAAGGACCCAAACATGAAATAATTGAATAGTATGAAAATATAAAATATATATGAACAAATATTATAATTTATTAATAAATGAATATTTTTTATTTATATTTTAAATCACGTTTAATGCAAAAATAAAAATAAAAAAATAATATGTTTTAATTGAAATGTGTCATTTTACATATTTTAAATTAATAAATTATCTTCATTATTGTAATTTTATTAAACTGAAATATATCATAACTTATATTTTAAAATATTATAACGTCAATTGGATTTTAATCTTATTTAACAACTCTATATTAAATTAGACTAATTCAATAAAATCAAGTTTCTCCTAAAATTTTCTTCAAATATATAATGAATTAATAATAAAATATAAAATTTTTAACCTAACCGGGATAAAACAAGTCAATGCACAAGTTAAAATGCTTACTACAACAAGCCCTCAATTATAATATATTAAAATTGTTTTTATTTGAATGATGCAACTCAATGGTTGGGGTATTTGCTATTTGAATGATGCAACTCAATGGTTGGGGTATTTGCTATGAAAAGTTTGCTATTTGAATGATGCAACTCAATGGTTGGGGTATTTGCTTCTTCTCCTAACGTCTTGGGTTTAAACCCTACCAGCAAAGGATATTGCTACAATTTATTTTCTATTAATTCAATTGGTGACATGTGACACCATTTGATTGGATGGAAATTTATTAAATTAAATAAAAATATTAAGAAAAAATCCAATCACATAGTGACACATTTCATCATTCGATTGAGGATTAAATTTATTAAAGTGATTAAAAGTTATGACCAAATTAATAGAACGTGTAAGTAATTATAACTAAATGTATAATTATACAAATTTTATTAACTGTCACGTCATCTCCTCCTTTAATATTTAATGGTAGGTGATTTGATTGACAATATTTAAATAGTTAGGTGACCCGAATGACAAAATTGAAAAATCGATGGTTAAAGTAACAGGGGTAAATAGTTAGGTGATCAATGATATAGTTTACCCTAAAAACTAATGTTTTATAAATATTATATTTTAATTAAATTACATTTAGATTTTTAACTAATTTATAATTATATGTTTAGTATTTTATAATTTAATATTTTATAAATTAATTTTACGGTACTTATCGTTAACGCTGCTCGTCCATGCTCGATGAGCATTGTAGAATTTTTCTTTAAAGTATATGATTAAAAAAATAAATTAAAATATAAAAATCAAATCTACAACTTATGAGTAATATAATAACTAATGATAAATTTAAATCAAATAAATTTATTATTTCGAATCACATAACCATCTAAATTGTTAACCCACGTTAGTAATTATCTAATATCTTATGATAAATTACATCATGTGTCATTATATTATGACTAAGGTTACAATGAATCACAAAATTTCAAAAAAAAAAGTCACGGAAAAATCATTTATTCATTGATTGTAACATTCTTATCAATTCACATAATGGTTAACAAACATCAATATTTTATTTATATTTTAATGATTTGATTATCACATTCATAACATGGTTATTATAATTGATAAATAAAATAATTTGATTACAATTAAAAAATAATATATATTTATATAAAATAATTTATCTGTTACTATTAATAAATAAAATAATTTATTTGTGAGATTTAAAATATACAGACCTAATTATAAACATGTTCTTAATACATATAATGACATGTATACTTTGCTCTTAGTCTTATCTTGTTTGGTCATAGATCATTAAAACGTGTAAAATTTACGCCAAATAAAGCGCCCATGTCTATACCTACTAGGCTACTATAAAAGGGCAATGACACATAAGTGAGGGCATTAAAGATAATTTGAGGGTTAATTAGGGTATAAAACTGATGTTCCTTACCATGTTGTCAAATAACATTTCATGTTTTGAATTTATTAAGGGATTTCAATTAATAAAAGGAATGTTATTTTCTTTAGATCTCATAAATTCAAGCGGTTGAATTTGCATATTATATATTCGTTATCAATTATTAAAAGAAATTCTGATGATTACAATACGTGATTTTGTTGTCATTAATTTGTGTATTCTTATATCACTTTATATGATTTTGTTGTCATCTCAAGTATCTATTACTTTCATTTGTGTATTACTAATCAGTTCATCCACAACACTTTAATTAACCATAACCACCATTAAGTGCCTATTACTTTTAAGGCTCGACACTTTTTGTCAGTAATTTCCAGCGGGTTACTTTAACTTGGGGTTTCCTTCCATAGTACGCAGTGTACGGTTACACCAAGAAACTAAGGTGCAGATCAGAGCTACCTCTTATCGATGATTCAATGGTGGGCGGATGAACACTGAATTGAGAAGCAACATTCCAAGACCAGAAAGAAAAATTAAAATGGCAAATCTTATCCAAAGGAATGATGCGTCAAACTAAAAAAAAAAGCTAGCAGTAACTAGCAGAACTAAAAAGGCCTCAAAACACAGTAAACATCACTAGATAGATTAATATGACGTACATTATATCACCAACACGACTAGAGGATTATAACTTCAGCATGGTGCTGCTTACATTTGGGTCGAATCAAACTTGAGGATATCTGGGCTGTGGTGATAAGGTTTTTCAATATGCTACAGGTGCACTATCTGGTGCAGCTGCATAACCACCGGACTGATCATAGGTAGCCTGAGCTGCTGTTGACTGAGGGTAAGTTGCTTGCCCACCTGCTGGTGCTGCACCATATGTTGTCACAGCGCCAGCACCATAACTAGGATCCTGTGTACCTTGAAAACCATAAGCTGCGTTGTTTGGAGCTGTTTGTTCAGAATAAACCTGCTGTGAGGGTGGATATTGGCTGTACCCAGAAGCAGTATTTGGTTGCGCATAGACAGCTGCTTGCTGAGCAGAAGGCTGACTGTAACCAGGAACAGGATGGCTGCCTTGTTGTGAATATAACTGGCTGGTCACTGGTGGAGTCTGATTATACCAGTCACTGGGTGGTGCAGAGGCATATGGAGGATAACTTTGTTGCATGGGCCCACTTGCATATGGGTATTGCAGCTGAGGGGGCACATTAGGACCATATGACTGGCCGCTTGGACCTTGATATGGAACTTCTCCAGGTTGATTAGCTGGAGGACCATATGCTTGGGGTCCTTGTGGCTGCATTGCAGATGGTGTCCTAACATACTGCTGCTGGGGAGGGCCATACGCAGGTTGAGGACCTGGCGGTGCATAACCTGGCTGAGAAGATCCATGTCCTCCGTAAGGATGATGAACTGGGGTATGATTTTCAAACTTCTCCCCATATCCATGTCCATAGCTATGCTGGGGAGCAGTATGTGAATATGGTGGCGGATGTGCATAGTCTGATGGACCATGAGGCTGTCCATAGTTATAATTTGATTGAGATGACACTAGCCCCATAGCTGGAGCAGGTGTTGGCCCAGGTCCATGCCCACGAATTGAAGCCAATGTGGGGTGGGACACTTGCCTACTATAGTAATCATAACCTCCACTATGTGGAGGTCCCTGCAAGCTATTAGGCCTCTGCTCCCAGCTAGAGCCAAAATTGCTTCTTGGAGCCATTTGATGAGGAGGGTGGCCAGCATAAGGAGGTTGATAATGTGAGTTTTGAGATGGATATGGTCTCCTTTGCTGAAAATCATATGATGACGTCTGGGCAGTACGGCTGTGGGAACCCCACTGAGGTGGACCAGTGGTTCCCCGAGGTCGATTGCCCTGCTGATTAAAACCACCAGAAAGAGATGATGACCTGGCATTCTATTCATTTAACAAAATAATAAGTTAGCTAAGCCAACTTTCATTCACCAATTGAAAAACAAAAAAGAAAGGGAGTAGAAAGAAAGTTTCCATATCATGTTTAACCATTTTACTCGAGTAACAACAGGCTAGACCAGGTCACATCTTGGTTCAAAAAGGAAGCAAATACTCAAATACAACAGCAACAATTACAGAACACAAAAAAGAGAAGAGCAAACTGAGAGTAATAAAATAAATCTGTTGAAATGCATATTCATTAATAATTTTATGGAGGGGAAAAAAGAATGCAATCAATATCATCACCAAGTTAGCATACTGAAAATCTATCGAAGCAAACTAATATCACCATCGAGTATTTCCCTCCAAAAAAAGAGGACTAAAAGAACATCAGCACACTCAATAAATGAACACCAAATGAATATTAATAATTAAAGACGAGAACAAGGGATTTGAGTGTTAACCAAGATTAAAAAAGACAATTTCTAATTGATCAGGCATCTTGAACTGCAAAAAATATATGCTAAATCTTTCGCATAAGATCATGTCATCCAGAGTGAGCAATGATATAAATGCCAATTCTTTCTCCGATCTTATAGCAATATACTTTTGACAATCGTGCATCGTCTCTACACATCAAATGACAAGGGCCATATTCTTCAGAAGTTTCAGCATAGAATCAAACAACATTCTAGTAGTAACTAACTTCACCAGGTATACTTCTTCCAACAGGTTTCATGCATATAACATGGAAGCCGGTTACATGCAGGCTCACTATATTATTTTCAATTTTTAAGTCTCAAAACAATCTTACCAACTATTAACATCTTGGAAGTCGAGTTTAATGCCAGATACCTCTCTTCAGTGCATAAAGGGGAATAGTGGTTGTCTATTGCTACACCAAAAGAGCAACGCTGACCCCATGGAAAAGGCTATCCAAATCTGCAGATTTTAAAGCCATCGAATTCGAATTGGCATCTTCAACATTAAATAAAGCATGGCAACCGGCATCTTGGATTGAATATATTATTGTCCAAATAGTATTCAAGTGACGTTGGCATTGATCATTAACACTCTTAAAGTTCAGGATATAAAACTCGTACTTCGAAGAACTATGAAATAAATCTTCCTCAAGTTGGATGTCAGGGTGTTAGAAGAAAATGCAGTTAACTACAATTGATTGTTTGCTTTGGCAAATCCATTGAGGGAGATAGATACAATCTAAACTTTATATTTCAAGTAGTTGCTCAAAGAAAATCATCTATACACCAGCGGTGGAGATTTTAAGCTCCAGATTACATGGTTGCAACATGTGCTATTAAGATATATTTAAGAAAATTTATAAATTCTTACAATGGTTAAAAATATACATGATAGCATTCTAACCTTCAAGAGTCAACAACAGACCTCACGTCTGGTCTATAGATTGCTAATTCCAATCTCACAAAGAGCATATTTTCATTTGAGCAGAAAAATTAAAGGTTAGCATCATTAACATACAATTCTACATGCATATGTTCTTAAACTCATGTCATTTCACTGGGATATCAGTCATCCTATCAACAGAATCTTGCACATGATGAGAATAATTGATTTTAGAAGTTAAAAGACAACTAAAATTTCAGATTAACGACACATTCTACTCTAATTCTGACCTGCTAAGTCTACTAGGAAAGCGTACAGGCAAAATCCCGCATACACAAGTGATATTATTTTGCTCATGACATCTTTTTAGCAAGCTTCACTCAAATTTCAGATGTGTTTTATGTCATCAGCACAATGATATAATTAACATCTGATGTTGGAAAACAGAACTCAACAAATGAATGGATTGAGTGACCAAGGATCACAAAAGTTTATACAAATGTTCATTGCTGGCAATTCTATAACAAACTAAGTAAATGTTTCATCAAAGTGAATATTTCACCTCTAGTACTAACATATCCAATAAATGATAAAAGGATCACACACTGGATACAGTTAAAATACCATTAGAAAATTTATTCTAAAGAAGAAGATGCAAGGTCAAAAACCAACCTGATTCATGACATCTTTTATCATTTCTCTGGCAATCTCAATTTGCCTCTTATCACCAGTCACTCTAACTATCCTTTCTTTTGATTCATCCCCTTCTGGAAGATGTTGGGGTATCAACTAAGCAGATAATAAATTGTGTAAGTATAGGCAGTAGCAAATTTGCAAGAATCTTAATTGAGACAAAGCAAACAAATATTAACAACCTGAATGCGAGCCCCTGACCTAGTCTGCAGTCCTCTGATAGTTTCCCCACCTCTACCAATGATAAAGCCAACCTGAAACAGGAAAAATAAACCACACCATGGTCATGAAGACTAAAGCAAGCTAGAACAGACACAAGTACATCTGTACCAGAAATTGCAGGTATGTATCAGAAAAAGGAATTTGGAATAACCTTCTCATTTGGTACTTGCATTTCAATCTGATCAGCAGCTCCAGCTGCCTGTGTGGTGGCGAGGCCCCTAGCTACAAGGGAGGGGGAACCCCCAGCGTCGGCCTGAAACAAATGCAAAAGTTAAACTAATGAAAAAGCAATGTAAATAAAATTTTTAACTAAGGGATGAATCAAGAACAGGAGTAAATAATAAGAACGTGGAGGGACGCGAAGAAAAAGTCTAGAAACAGCATACAACCTCTGCTATGACAGCATTTATAAGCGTCTCAGCTTTTATGATACTAGTCAAACTCCCTATTATTTCTACAGGCCTTGTTGGGGCATCACGATCAGCATCTGCATCCTTTGTAATTTGAATTTTTGCACCTGAGTTATATTGCAGGTACCTTATAGTATCCCCTGCTTTTCCAATGAGAACACCAACCTGCAGAAAGCATTCGCAAAATCAACTCTATAACAACTTGGAAGTTGAGTTTATATTAAAACATTTAAAACAAGCATGCCGAAATAGTGTTGCTATAAAGAAAGAAAAAGCATTGCTTGGATGAGAAGATGATTAGGATAATTGTAAAAGGAAAAAGGTGGTTCCAAGCATTGTACAAAAATAATGAGGAAGCACATTTGAGGTAGTCTAGACAAGTAACCATGAGACCCCTGTTAGTAAATGTGAGTTAATGAAGGACATCCAGGTTAAGAGAGAAAGAGAAGAAAAAGTGTAATGAACACTAACACAACGAATTTAAAAAGGACCACAGTTTTCTGAGTTACCATGAACGCATTAAACATATTACAGTTAAAAATGATTACTTTTACTTAGGCCTGTAAACGAACCGAACACACACGAACGGAGGTATGTTCATGTTCGTTCATTTAATAAATAAACGAACATAAACGAATACGAACATAATCGAACAAATTTTTTTTTGTTCATGTTCGTTCATTAAGAAATATAGCTTATTCATGTTCGTTCATTTAATAAATAAACGAACATAAATGAACACGAACATAAACGAACACGAACATAAATGAACACGAACATAAAAGTTGGAAACCCTACTTTCTATTGTTCTTTCATGAAAAATAGTTGACAATGTAAATCAACCAAATCTACAGTGATAAATAGCGTAAGAGCTGATTAGCAGTGATGAAATGTTTGAAGATATCAGATATTTCGATCGATCTTTTAAAGATATGAAATGATTCACACGACTTTAATTTAACGCTATAACATTTATCTTAGTGGTCCATGATTACATATGAACAATCATTTTCCACTACGTTATTCTAATAAATTCGTCGGCTAAAAGTTTTGTGACATCAATGTCAGGTTTTAGTGAGATTTGTTAATAATGATCATTTCCGTTGGTAGAGTAGAAAATTTAGCATAAAGATTTCGAACGGTACAAATTGGACTACAACAAACATAGATCCGAATCCCTCCAATGCTACATATCGTAACTAATATTATTGCTAAACCATCATTCAAAATTTTAACGTACCTAAAGTCTACTCCTCAACTAAAAGTCATATGAAAACAAAGTTCATTGCCAAATTGTATTTTCTACTTATTAATGGGTTCTTCCTGAAAAATCCATTACTTCTGCTATTACACTCTTTTTCAAAAATTGCATAGAAACATTTGTTTTGTTTTCTGGCAAATTCTATATATTTTTCTCTTTACTGATGCTCATATACTTCCGATTGTTACCTTTATCTTCCTATCTATTTTTAGAAAGAAGTATGATGTTTTATTGAGTTTTAGATGTGAAGATATCGGCAATAACTTTACATATCAACTATTAAGCCATATAAAACAGAGAAAGAGATGAAAACAAACCTGTAGAACTTCAAATTGTACTATAATATAACTTGTTTTGAAGCTTTCATCGATCGTTTCCACTCTCTAGTGAAGACTAGGGTTCGGGGGAAAAAGGGGGAAAATTAATATAGGTGCGAGGTGCCTCACAGGTTAACATATTGGATTTAATCTCCAAATAAAATTGGGTTAATTATAGAATTGGTTATCAGAATATCAAATTAATTAATATTTTTAAGATACTTACAAATTGGTCACCAAAATTGATTTAAGAAGATTGGATTAAACATAAATGAACGAACATAAACGAACATAACCAAACGAACATAAACGAACATAACCGAACGTTCACGAACGTAATTGAACGAACGAGACATATGTTCATGTTCGTTCATTTAATTAAACGAACACAAAATATTGTTCATGTTCATTCATTTAATAAATAAACGCACATAAACGAACTTCCCGCCGCACGGTTCATGAACGGTTCGTTGAACGTTCAGTTCATTTACAGGCCTACTTTTACTGCTTGTTCATGTAACGAAAACAAAGTAAACTTAGTTTGCAGCCAGTTGGGCTAGTCCTTTGGTACTAATTGCCACTACAGGAAGAAATGCACTACCAATGAATAGATCAGTATACTAATTTCAACAATATCTTTCTCCATATATGATACCATCTGGTTTGATGTCTGGAGGCACAAATATGACAAAGAAATACTCAATGTTCATGCAGCACGAAAGAGCAGTTGCACTAAGGAAGAGAGCTAGGGATTTGATTATGGTGATAGGATAAAAATTCCAAACCCGCCTTAGTCCCAGATAAGGGGCTATTTAGGATGTCATCATATAAAATTCTTAAAATGTTTCCCTTGTCCTAATTGAGACAGCTAAAAAAATTAGCATACCTTAGCATTAGGAACCTCCATTTTGCAGGTAATAGTTGAACCATCATCACCATCCTGCTGAGGCACCTCATTAGAAGGCTGTTCCTGACCACTGTCTGCTTCAAAACTCTCAACTTTACCTAAGTCACCATCAGTAGTCTCATGATTATCTGTAAATTGTTGCTTCCTCTCGTCTTTAGGTGGTTCATGACCATTATACGCCTCAAAACTCTCAACTTTACCTAACTCGGCATCACTAGCCTCATGATTATATATAGATTGTTGCTTAGTTTCCTCAGTTGTTCCTTCAACTGGTATATGTTTTATGGTCGGTTGAGCCCCCTCTGTTGGAGCATCGCCATCCTCTGATTGCTTTTTAACCTCATTTTGCAGGAAGGACTCCTCTTCCTGCTTTGCAGGTTCTTCCAACTTCTCAGCTTCAAATCCCTTCTCATTAGCTGTTATGTTAGAAACAAGGATCATAGAATTAGAATAGATGGAATAAGTAAAGCAATAAACTATTAGAAGGTAATTATATAGTCATAATCCATTATTTGCTATTTCTTATTTCTTTCCAGACAAAATTTTAAAAGAACATTTAAATCCAAAAATAAATACCAAATTTTATAATTTAAAAATTGAATTTTTGAAGTTTCCAGCATTTATATTAATCAATTTCTAGATAAAAGAAATACGTTTGAAGGGGTTTTGCATTTTAACCATATCTACTTCAAACATATTTGCTCAGCTTTTCGCAGTTTTTGAACAAGTTAATACTGAAAATGACAACATGGAGCCTTAATCTTCTCACTACACATTCACCTAGCACATAATTTGATATGAACCTTTGGAAAACCAGATCCTAAAAGCTAGCAATTAGAGTGGGAAATCAAATTCCAGCAAAATCCCGAACATTCAATGTGACATCCAAGCCCACGACTGTGCAATTTAGCAAATAAAGTAACTTTAGTCACCAGAACTCATCACACTTGAGTTTTCCTAGCAAGCTGTTTTATCACAGAGAAATTTTCCGCTTGAACCAAAGCGAATATCCGACACAATAACAAGATAATCCTAGAATTAATGTCAAGTCATAAAACCCATTCCACAAAATTAACATTAGAAAACCCTAAAAGAAAACCAAAAGTAAAGGGAGAATAAAATTTTCATTACCGAAGCCGTCGGTTTCACCATCGACCAGCCTAGTCCGCTTCGCCTCGGACAAACCAGATGCCGCTACATCATTGTCCTCCGCATCAGAACCAAGAGGCATGTCGACAGGTTGGTCTTGGGGCTCGATATCTTCAAGCTTCCGCTTATGATCGGAGGGGACGGTGCCGGGTGCAGCAGCGGCGACGACCTCTTGATCCGCCATTCAAGATGCACCGGAAATGAAAATCAGTCTCGGGTTTCGGGAGGGGAGTATTAGGAAGTTAGGTATCAAAAGGGTTGGATGTAGATGTCAATGACGTATACGCAAAAGATTATGTTTTGTTGTTGAGGAATCTTGTAATTTGTAGGTGGTCGGTTTATATCTCTTCGAATTCACAAAAAACAAATTAATGTACTTTCGACCCAAATTTTAGGGTTTGGGCTCTGGGTTTTCATTGTTTTTAGGGGATCCTGTTGGGCTGTAAATCACAAAGTATAGGAAATTTTCAGGTCAACATTACCCTTATTCAAACACAGTATTCATCACTTGTTATACATATCTTTATGCGTTTAATTATTTTAAATTATTTAATTACATTTTTATTTCTTGTAAAACTGATTAAAATATTGTATATTAATATATTATTCATCTATAAAATTCAATAATTTAATTTTAAATGGGAACATACTATAAAATTTAATTCAATTCTTATCAAGTTTTATCTATTTAAATTTGTTTCACGAACTAATTTACCTCAGTTGTTAAAAGAATCGTTATTGTTCCTAGAGGTCACGAGTTTGAGCACAAGTGATTGCAAGTGTGATTGACGTTCATTTTCAAATGGTTGAGAGTACTTAGAACATATACTATTTTGTAATCACCTTTAGTTTAATAAAGAAAATTGTAGTTTAAATATAATGATAAAAATAAATAAGAAATGATTTAAAATAATAAAATATTGTTTACCTATAAGTTTAAGTAATTTAAATTATAATGAAATTATAATTTAAGATGAATATGAAGTACAATGTAATATGAATTAGATTTTATCTATTTAAATGTTTTATTTTGGTACAATAATTGGTATATGATATATTGATCGACTAATCCAGATCGGATATTGCAGAGCCAAGGGCGACACTCCCAACCCAATTTGCTCTATTCTCAAATGTCAAAATTCGAACCTCTGACCTTGCTTAAGGAATCTAGTGTCTCGTCCCACTAGATCAACTTATTGTCGGTTATCTATTTAAATGTTATATTTAGTATTAATATAATAAAATACTATTTTAAATTCAAATTAAATACAATTCATTTCACACGCCAAATTAGGCCATAAAATTTTCTTAAAATTTATTTTGGGGGCTAAATTAAAATTTTAACTAAATTTATGGACCAAAGTGAAATTTTGATTAAATTCGAATCCAAATTCAGAAAGTAACTAAAACTGAAGAACCTTTTATATAATTATACCATTTTCCTTTTTAAGGGATTATATAACCCTAAATATAGTTTCCTTATTTGGAAACCCTTTTTTACCTCTCTTTAAGCTTTCCTCTTTTAGTAAGGAAACTTCAATTGACGTTTTGTCGTCGACCTTTACTCCATTTTTGATACCTCTTACAGTATTGTGTTTATTGTGTTATCCTGAGTTCACCAGTGTCCGCCTTGTCTCCGTTGCCGCTGACAAGTGAAGGGGTGAGGAAGAACAAGTTTGTAACGTTGTGAAATCGAGTTTTTCGTCATTCCCCATTGTGAATCAAGCTTGGTAAGTGTCTCAAAACCCCTTGAAATGCGTATAGGAATTTTTCTGGATTTTTTTCATCCCCCGAATGATTTGCACGCTCCCCCATACACCGCTGTTGCGAGTGGGGAAGGTCTACCGCTTAGTGGGCTTCTAGAAACGGGTCGACTCGACCCGCTTGTCCGATCCGACCGGCCCAATCGAACTAAACTAGTATAGCCCAAACCGAACTGATTAACCATTGATCGTTGATCGTTGACTGTTGACCGTTGACCACCATTGGCTTTTTTGAAAACCTCCATCTTGACATTTTCAACATCATGAGCCCGTTTTACATTCTGTTTTGCCAAATTATGACCCAGAAGTCCCGAATTGAGCACATTAATCCAAAAATGCTTATTATTTTTAACATTTTTGCTTGTTTATTTGAGATTTGATAATGGAATTGATTCGAGTATATCATTTTTATAAAGGTACTTGTGTTTCCCTCGACCGATGGTCGATTAGATTCAGTGCTTCCTGTTCGTCAGATCCGCACGATCCCCATTCTTCGAGAGTTACTTGTAGGTTTCCGTAAATTGTTTAAATAAAAGTTATTATTATTCATATTAAGATTTTGATATAGATTTTTCGAATCATAGGATCTAGCGCTGACGCTGATCGTGATCGGCAGACCCAGTAGTAGGCTTCTTTATCAGACTACTCTGACTGATACATGTGTGTTTCCTGATGGTGTTACATTATTGTTTTAAACCACCTATATCAATTGTTTTAGATTTATGATGATACTTTATATTTTTACGACATAATACCTGATTTTCTAAATACTGCTTATTTGATACCTGATTTATTGTATATTTTTTATATTATCTCTCATTGTATTTATGTATCTTATTTCTGCATATGGAATATTTTCATGCTTTAATGGATTAAACTATTGTTTTCACTTGAATACATAAATGTTTATTACTGTCATTGAGGTATTATTGGAGCAAGTATTTCAGGCCTATTCTACGACTTGTAAGACCTTACTGCAGACTCCTTTGCTTTGTGCACAGGGTAAGTCCTTCCGCAAGTCCTTATGCTATATGTATAAGACCCTTACCTGGTGTACATGTGGGTGTATGTTTTGGGGAACCTATAAATTATGGTGATTAAATGGGGGTAGTGTTCATATTTTTAAAACATGTTTGATGTACTGATTTTTACTGAAGTATTTTATCTGTATTTTTTTATACACCGCAAGGAGCACACTGAGCTTTTTAGCTCATTATGTAAATTTTAACATTTTCATATAGTAGCAAACAGTAGATTAGCAGACTTGGCATTAGTAGGACCAACTACTCTTTATTTTTGTACTACCATATATGCCTATATGCTCTTTTTGTTATACTTTGGTGTCATGTGTTTTACTATTGTTTTGATATATATGTATTACTGATATTTTGTTTTGTATATCTTTTATACGATTTATCCTATATATGTATATATATGATTATCGTATGAATTTCACTGACGCTAGTTGCATATTATATTGATATATGAATTTCAACGCTATTTTTAATATAAAAAGAACTTCTAAATACGATATGTGGCTGCATAGATTTGGTGATAACATCCAGACCGAGTCCAGGGGTTACAATTCAAATTATATTATATTAAAACCATTCCACTGTTGAGTTATAACGTTTCTAATGATTACGGATTTATCACTATTTAAAACTAGTTTAGGTCCTTAGGAGCCATGAAAATTGAGTTATGACATTTCTAAGGGGTTTCAAACTACATGTAAAGTGGGTTGGTTGAGTGGAAAATTTTAAAAAGAAAATAAATTTTTATGTGCTTTGTACAAAAGGAAATCAAGAAAAAAATGAACATTTTTCTATTAAAAATATAAGGATGAGTTTTTATGAAGAGCAGAGAAATGGTATGAATATATAATGAGAGAAACAATTTATTTTTGACAATAAATTTAAATTATTTTTTAATATTAAAATATTAATTGATTTAAGATGAATTTTTTAGACGAGATTCAGGTATATCTAAATTGAAATGTACATGTTTACATATAAATTACTTTTTAATTATTTTTTATGAATGTTGCATACATAAATTAAGCAATGATTGTTTCATAGAATGGAATCGAACTTTCACCAAACTGTTATATAAACTAATTTCTTTAATATATGTTTATATACGCGTTTACGTCATATTATTTAAAAATAAATATTAATATTTTATTTAAAAATAAAAATGTTAAAACTATTTAAATTAAAATTACTTTTTTTCTTTTATATTTATAAATTGTAATATTAAAAAATAATATTATATATAATAAGTTAAACAAATAAAATATTATAATATTATATATTTTACATCCAATTACAATAATCATTCTATCTTCTTATCGTCAATAAATATGAATTAAGCACTTCCTTTTGTAGAACAATGAATATAATATTTTGTTCCTTTTAAAAAGTTTTTTGATGTTTGACTATGTGTATCTTCATTCTTTTTTCTCAAATATTATTTTTACATTTTATTTAATTGAAAGATATTATATTTAATACTAATTTTAATTAAAGATATAATCGCAACCCCTGAAAATTTATTTCCTCACCAAGATCAATGTTGCTTGTAAGTTTAAATGCGTATGAAAACGATTAAATAAGCTTGATGATTTCATCCCAAGTAGAAATCACAGAGAGGTTGAAGACGACAAACCTATAAAAGAACACTTAAAAGAAAAAAGTTAGATGAAAATCACAGATATAAAAGAAGCCACCGAAATTCAAATTCATGAGGTTTGTTTCAGACATGTTCCGATTAAGTTGAGAGAAAAAGCGCTAAATCTGAACTATTAATCGGCAGATATTTTATAAATCTGACCTATTAATCTGCAGTGTCCTCTCCCTACCGAGTTTTTTGTCCTGATCAGACATTAAGGATCCCCAACCCAACCGTTTTGAATGATTCCTCACCATATTTCACGGTTTCATCTCATAAATACCAAAATCCTCCGCAGTATCTAAGCCTTGTCTCAGCTTACCAGTACCACACTTCGCTGCAACCACAGACTCAATAAACTACACGACCGGTACATGGTTTTTTAAGGTTTCATCATTCAGACATTTATGGGGAAGTTTGTTGATGATGTTAAGCACGATCACGACAAGGTAATCACTAATGTACTGCAAAATCTTTTGGAAGAGAAAATTCATGATATTGAAATCATTTCTGGTTATGTTTAGCAGGATAAGCTTGAATCATCGAACACATTGGTTAGTAATGGATGCGTGGATTTTAGAGGGCAAATTGCAGAAAAGCAAACCACTGGAGGATGGAAGGCAGCTCCATATCTCATAGGTATACACTAAAACTAGCTCCAAGGGCAGGCAGGTTTCAGTGCACTAACATGATTTTGCTCACTGATTCATGGGTTTGTTATTGTTTAAATTCTAGTTAATGAGGTTGCCGAGAGATTGGCCTTCTTTGCAATAGCGGTGAACATGGTGGCTTATTTGGTTCTGGAAATGCACGAATCGCTTCCGACTGCTGCAACTCACGTGACTAACTGGATTGGAGCTTCTTATGTTCTAACCATACTCGGGGCGTTTCTTGCCGATGCTTACTTGGGTAGATTCTTGACCATCGTCATCTTTTCTTGCATATATGCAGTCGTAAGTTAGCGTCTCCATGGTTAATTTGATATGCAGAGAAATGTTTAGACAGGACGACGTAACATAAAGTCCCCTGTCCCTTGTTTTACTCAGGGAATGCTTTTGCTGACGCTATCGGCCACCATAGACAGCCTGCGACCGCCAAGCTGCTTGGCCCTGCCATGCATAAAAGCAACCGAGAAGCAAACGGGTTTCCTCTTTGCTGCACTAGCTCTTATCGCCCTCGGAACCGGCGGTATCAAACCTTGCGTTTCGTCCTTTGGGGCAGACCAGTTCGACGAAGCCGATAAAAAGGAAGCACGACAAAAATATGCTTTCTTCAACTGGTTCTTTTTCGCCATAAACATGGGCGCCATCTTGGGGATTACACTTATGGTGTATATACAAGAGAAGAAAGGTTACGGTTGGGGTTTTGGACTCCCTACTGTGTCTACCATTTTCTCTATCTTGATCCTAGCTGCTGGACTACGATTTTATCGTTACCAAAAACCAATGGGAAGTCCTTTCACTAGGTTTCTTCAGGTACTTGTTGCAGCTATTAGGAACCATTCTAATGGGGTTGAATTAAAACCTAGAGCTGTTTTATATGAGGTTAGTTCAAAGGAGTCTGATATTACTGGTGCTCGAAAACTTGCTCATACCGAACAGTACAGGTAATCATAGACTAAAACACACTCCTTTGTTTACTTTAATTTATGTGTAATTTGTTTTTTTTACAGGTTCTTCGACAAGGCAGCAATCATGACGGATCCTGAAGCTAGCACTAGGAACCGATGGAGACTTTGCACAGTAACTCAAGTAGAAGAATTCAAGTCCTTCATTAGGATCCTCCCTATATGGGCATCTACGATAGCGCTTTCCATCTCATACTCTCAACTCTCAACCTTCTTCGTCAGCCAAGCCGCCATCATGGGCCGACATCTTGGTCCACACTTTGTCATTCCGGCAGGTTCGACCACTCTTTTCAGCGCCCTCAACGCTGTCCTACTTGTTCCCGTCTACGAAGTATGGGTCGTCCCATTCTTACGTAAACGCACCGGCCATCCCCGTGGCATTACCTCGTTACAAAGAATGGGAGTTGGCCTATTCATATCCATCTTTGCAATGCTCTCAGCTGCTTTGGTTGAGAAGAAACGTCGTGACCACCCTAACTCCTCGTCTTTGACTGTGTTTTGGCTGCTCCCGCAGTTCTTCTTCATCGGCAGCGCCGAGGTTTTCACTTACGTGGGACAATTGGAGTTCTTTTACGACGAGGTTACCGATGGGACGAGAAGTATAAGCAGTGCATTGTTTCTTAGTGAGGTTGGAATAGGGAGTTGGTTAAGCACCGCCCTCGTTAAAAGCATCGAGGGTGCAACCGGTGGGGAAAAGAAAGGGTGGCTAAGGAATGATCTAAACAAAAGCAGGCTTGAAAATCTCTACTGGATATTGACGATAATCAATGCTGCGAATTTCTTGGTGTATTTGTGGGTGGCTCAACGGTATAAGGGAAAGAACGACGAGGGAAAGAGGACGGAGGTGCTGGTTGAGATGGATGTTGATGAAGTGAAGAAGGCAAATAAGGGTGAAGGGAAGCTTAAAAGCATGGAGTCGTGAAATCTAATATTAGTTTCTTTTAATTCGTTCATAGATTTTTGCTTTTAAGTTATGATGGTATCGCAATTTGTTTCATTTTATTTGCAAATCAACCAATTATTTCCCTAGTTTTACAATGATTTATAGTTTTGCATGACTGGAAGCTCACAACATAAAACTTCTTAGTTTTTTTGCGCTGATAATTTCAATTATAAAAGCTAACCGCTTAAGAAACAGCAAATTCAGGTCTATTGTTAAAAATAGATACTTAATATTTTTCAGTTACATTTTTAGGTATCTACCGTTATATATATATATATATTTTTTTTAAAAATTAAAAATAAACCCCACGTCGTCCTCCTCTTCCCCCACCTCCAACGCGAAGGGTCACCGCCGACTAGATTTTATTTGTAGCAAGATGAGGAACTCAATAATGGTGATAGTATAACATATGATCTGCTATAATTGTCAAAATCGCCAAAAAATATCAAATGAAAACTTAGAAATCCGATGACACTTCGCGGCACTTTTCACAACGAACGACGCAATTTTACAGTGAATGAGAGACTGAATTTTGGTTCCGACAACAAAACTATTCTAATGGTGTCAACGATGACAGCCACCAACCAACAGTAAAAAAAATAAAATTTTAAGTTCTTTTTGGAGTTTTTTTTAAATAATTTCTTTTTAAAATTTTATATGCGTAACATATGATAGATAATGGTCAAATTTAACAACCATTATCGTCCAGACACTAACGTTAGAAATATTAGATACCTAACTTTAACGAAAAATTCTTTTGAGACCAAAAATCAATTTGAGGTATAATTTAGGCAGTTAAAAAGTGTATTAACTTATAAATAAAGTAAGCTTATTGGTCTTAGTTTAGAAAAAAATCATTAAAGAAATAATTGTCAGTAGCCAGGTTCAATCAGGCCATTTGAATCAAGGAGATGGTTATAGAAATAGATAATTTCATTGTGGTTGAAACATGTTATATGTTTCCTTTTCCCGGATAGGTGATGGAACTTCATATGCAAGAAACAAAAATACAAATTTAGGTAATACAAATGCCGCATTCTCCTTCGGAATTTTGTTCTGATATACAGATTATAACATGCGGGGCGGCTAACTTTCCTTCTTCCTATAGCTGTTATCTGTTCATCTATCGTCTTCGTGACATGTTCCGTCAACTGAAGCAAAAGCTGAGAGAAAAGAGAAATGTAAGTTACAATACCGCTATGTCTGACCTATTCATCTGCAGTGTCCTCTGCAGATTTTTTATACTCCGGCTTAAGCTCGTAAGTTCCTTGATTGGCACCTCTCTTATTGTACACGCAGAGCTCGTTCAATATCTCTTTCAGGAATTGCTGCAAAGAAAGTAAAGTAAAATCTTTCAAACACATAAAATACATGATGACCGCCAAAAAAACACAAAAACAACAAACTAAGAAAACATTCAAATCATCGTTATAAACCATAAGACATATCCTGTGGTACAATGAAAAAGAAATGTAAGAGGCTTACAGCAGGCTGATCAGTCTCTTGGACAAGTTGCTTTAAAGTCCAATTTGGTTGTCTTTCGAACAGCTTGAACATAATATCTTCCAGTTCCCCACGATCCCTTCGGGTTCTCTTCACCTCTGATTGTTTAACTGGCATTGTTTTCTTCTTATCCTGCTCAGAGACAATGGACAATATGAAGTACGAATCTACAATTACAACTCCAAACTTGTTTATGTTTAAGAGCAAAAAAATAGTAAATATCACTCTCTAGAGACCATGAATATAAGTACCTTGGGGTTGGATGAAATCAGGCCAATCATTCCAGGCATTGGCCTCATGTGCACTCCACGATCGTTATCAATAACCTTCAAAGTGCATCAAAAACACATAAGATGATAGGCATCATAGTAACATTAAAGGGAAAAAAGTGTATTCCTGAAGCCAATGCATATTCATTGACCTACCTGTATTTGCCTGTTCTTGATCATGGACTTATTTGTCCTTTCTCGACACAGTCTCCCATATTCCTCAATGTTTTCTTCATGTGGTTTCATGTCAAATTTGTGTTCAACCTTTCCTTCCATTGCAACCGCTCCTACAACAAAAACAGATCCCAAGTCACAAACTAAGGCAAAGAACTTAAGCAAGAGAAACATCAAAAGGGTTCTTACAAGAAAATCATCATGGTGTAAATTGCCCCTTCAAGTCACTGTAAGCATCAGATAATTTTGAACACAATACAACTACACGACTAATAAACACGGAAATAATGTAATAAACATGACATGTTTAATGGTATTCGTGTTTTATGTAAAAGAAAAACAGGCTGAAACATGACACATACAAGCCAGGTCTAACCAAGCCAGAGCAGGAAAAAAGGAACAAACATTATGTTACTAAATTTAAAAATAAAACAATTGAATTAAGAATAAACTTTAATAGTTGAGAAGCACTAGGAGCAAAGAACCATAACTCTGACCTTGACTTGTTTCAGAGAAGACACACATAGGAACAAAGTCTTTGAACATGTTCAAAGTGTAGCTTTTTGGTATTCTTTCGGTCTCGGATCCAACCATGTTCATAGTAAACTGTAAATGTCAAGTCATAAACTCCTCAGAAGCATTTCATCAAATGTTTGCCTTGTTAGATTATACGGCGAATACAAAAGAAACCTTTCACTATAATTTTCACTCTAAAAACTATAATACAGTGCCAATTCATGTCAATTAAAGAAACTGGGATACATAAACATTCACAATCATCTGCTAAATTGAAGTAATTGTTCTAAACTATTTAGTGTTACCTGAGGCTCATCGGGTTTGAGAGGGTCGAGAGAGAAGACGACCTTGGCGATAGGCTGAGAATCAGAAGAAGAAGGGGAAGAAGAAGCTTGGTTCTTCCATGACTTGGCCACCACGACGGGGCACTTCATTAACCAGACCGATTTATCAGCTTTCCCCATGTCTAGAAAGCCGTCGTTACCTTGATCTTCATCCATCTTCAAACTTGTTTATTCCTTCAGCCTCTGTAAAAACTGTATGGAAATTTCTTATCCAACTTTTGTTTGTCGGAAAGGAAGATTTGGGGAAAGCTTATAATTTCTTCAGTCGGTTTACTTGGTAGTTTCTCAGTGAATTGGACCCTGACGAGTCGGAGGGAACGAATTTAGGAAAGGCAAGGAGAGAGGTAACGCGTCTGTTTTTCCCTAAAGGCTAAAACCCAGCAACGTTGAAACGTGCACGGACTTCCTGGGCCTGGTTTGGTCTTCTATCCAATCCGAGCTCTCTTTTCTGGGTTTTTTGGCCCGTCACATCACTGTTTTAAGCAAAGTTCATTGTTTCAGTTTCACTAATCTAACAACCTTGGTGATAAAAGAATTATTGTTATTCATTTATGTCTCAGGTTCAAGAACCATGAATATCATGGGTGTAAACGTTTAATGTCAAAAAGTTAAGAGTTATCTTTGAACATATATTATCTTGTACTTATCCAGATTAATAATAATAAGAAAAACCAATTTCATATTTTGTGACTAGAAAAAAAAATAAACTATATAGTATGAGTCTAATGAGCTTAACCCACAATTCTATTTTTTCCCTAAAATGAGAAAATGTAAGAATTAAAATGATTATTCTAATAAATATCCGAGATTAATTTTAACATTATGGCTTAATAATTTTATAACATTACTTCATTCATAGCAAAATTAATGTAGCAATGAAATGATGTATGGAGGTGAGCGTAGTTGGTTTGTAATGATAAACCCAAACTACAACAAACCACTTAGATTGAGTTGACAAATCATTTCCTTATTACCTTTTTCTCTTATCAATAAATGATGGCTAACATGAGTACCCATTTGCTCTAACCATCACCCTAACTCCATAATATTATCCATCTTTGATGCTGGAATTTTGGTATCACCGTTGTAGAAATGACGGGTTGTGGTCCTCGAAAGTATATCTAGAGAACCCAAGAACAATAATGCAATGTTTCCATCCAATATTGCCTGGTTGTGACCAGCTTCTACTTTTTTTAAAAAAAAAAAAACGAACAAAACCATTATTTCCGTGTAAAAACACTGGTAATTTTGGATGGGGAAAAGGTGGATTTGGGTAGTGATTTAAGCGTCATATAGAACAAGTTAAAACCATTATGTAGTTCTAGTACTCGAGAGCTAAATTGCCAGTTGAAATACCTTTCTTTTTAGCAGAAAATTCTAATGGTTAAATTTGAATTCAGTTTCATGGATTTCATATAAGTTTATCTTTTCTAAAAGGAACAAGCAAAAAGAAAAGCAAGACCCCAAAACCTTTTTGTTATTTTCCATTGCTTTTATACTCAATTTCAAATGTAATTATTTAATTATATTTAGTTTTGAATCTAATATTTGTATTTAAGATTTAATTTCAATTTGATAATGAATAGTATGTGAGGTGATTGTTTACCATGATTAATACAGTGAGCAATGAGGTGGTCGGGCCAATAATTTGTTGTTCACGTGTTTTAATTAGACATAAATCCAATGGTTAACCAAGATTTAAGTTGAGGGTTTAAGTGAATTCCGAGAGTTAAAGAGAGAGTCTTTTTGTTATCCTAATGGAGCTATATTATATACTGCAGATGTTCGATGGTTCTTCATTCGTAGAATGAGGTACAATATCTAGAAAGCTGAGGTCGATATGTTAAGTTCATTAAACTATATATATATATATATATGATGTTTGTTATTGAGTTGTAGAGAAGTGATCTGATATATGCTACAAGTAGCCTTGGAGTGGAACCTCTCTAAATTGCTAAAGGACTTGTCTTTCATTTATTTTAGAGAATATTATATAATGACACGATTTAAAATTCCACGTTATTTATCTAGCGATTTTTATCTAACTGAGAATAGTTTCGTTTTGACAATTTATCTACGAAATTGATTAATAAAGATAGTTTTATTTTGTCTTAATAAGTGATTTGTATATTTATAATTATTCAAAAATTTCAATATGATTATAAGTGTCTTATTAATATATATTGGACTTT